CTCAGCACAATCAAGAATTCTTAAGACCAACTAATTGGCATGTGTACAGTGTGTATTGCCTACAATATCCTAAGATAGCCTGCAACTCACTCTGTAGCCCAGGCTGAACTGAACAAACAATACACCTGTTTCACCTTCCTGAATGCTGAGGATTACAGACATGCATCACCATGGCTGGATGATTCGTTTCTTGACTGTGTGTGTGTGTGTGTGTGTGTGTGTGTGTTTGCACCCGTGCAGGTGTGCACATGCTGTGGTGTGCATGAAGAGGACAGAACAACCTCCAGTGTTGACCCACACCTTCCACCTTGCTTTGAGAAGGGGACTCCTCTCTCTCTCTCTCTCTCTCTCTCTCTCTCTCTCTCTCTCTCTCTTCATTCCCTCCCTCTCTCTCCCCCTCCCTCTCTCCCTCTCTCCCTCCCTCCCTTCCTTCCTTTTTTTAAGCAATATTTTTTTAATGCTCTTGGTTTTAATCTAGAAAAACAGTCTCCCCAGACCCTATTTGCTGTACTTTAGACAATTAGTTGCAACACAGCCTGTAGAAACAATGGCCTGGTGGCTTTTCGGAATATGTGATAACAAGTGTAGGCATCTTTGGAACAAGCGTGCTCACAGCCCGTGATGCCCACTTAAGCTTTATGAGAATGCCATTTTATAGAATTCAGAAACTGTAAAATATCTGGTCAGAGTTCCTCCCAGCTCCCACTTATAGGCCTGATGTGTGCCTCAAACAGGATCTGATGAGTAATTAGCACCCCACAGCCCAGGAGGAATAAGCAAGTGAGGTGGACACCCTAACCACCTCAGCCCCACACGCTAAGAACCCTAGAAACTCCACTCCGAAAAGAGCACCAGCTACAAGCAGCCACTGCATGCTCCACCATACACCAGACTAGGACAGAACCGAATGAGTCCAGGCCCACCAATGTGACTCTTTCTTACATTCTTCATTCACCGGTATAGCTAGTCCTCAAGCTTCCAGGACTCCTCCTGTCTCTGTCTTTTGTCTCACTATAGGCAAACAGGGACTGTAGACTTCCACTACATTGCCTGTCTTTACATGCACTCTGGGGATGCAAACTCAGATCTTCATGAATGTGCAGTAAGCATTTTCCCACTAAACTGTCTCCCCAGCCCATGATTTTTTTTTTCCTAGCTGGATGTTACAGTTTGCATCTGAGATGTTCCCCTCAGGCTAATGTGTTTGAACACTTGGTCTCCAGCCTGTGGTGCTGTCTTGGGAGGTCGTGGAACCTTTCGCGATGTAGAGCCTAGCAGCAAGTAGATTGTAGGACACCAAGGGCTGGCCTTGAATGTTGTAGCCAGTTCTGCTTCTAGTATAGCTCTCTGCTCCTGGACTTCCTCCATGATGTGCCCAGCCACAAGCTCCTGTCACTATGGACTAAGTAGTTCCAGTGACCATGCTTTCCCACCATTATAGACTGTATCTTCTGGAACTGTGAGCCAAACAGACCTGTCTTCCTTTCGGTAGCTTTCTGTCAAGTATTCTGTCATAGAGCTGAGAAAAGTAGCTAAGGTAATAACATGTTAAGGAGCTGGAGAGAGGACTCAGACGTTAAGAGCTCTGGCTGCTCTTGAAGAGGACCCTGGTTTAGTTGCTAGCACCCACACAGTGGTTCACAATTATGTATGATATTATGTATCACCAGTTCCGGGTGCTCCAATGCCCTCTTCGGACCTTTGTGGGCACCAGGCATGCGCATGGTGTTAAGTCCCCGAGGCAGGCCCCAGGGTGGCAGTGCTTCTTATGGCGGTGACTCTACTCCCACCTGACCTGGGTTTCACCAAGAAACAAAAACCCAAAGTGTTTCTCTGGAAGCCCTGAAAGGCTGGCTGAATGTTCCTAACTCTCTGTCAGCACCTACTCTGCCTGAAAAAGTCCCCCTCCCCTTCATCCACCCATATACAACCCAACAAGTTTGCACTGGTTGCTGTCCTGTATGGCCCAGATATCTAGACAGTGATGATGATGATGATGATGATGATGATGATGATGATGATGATGATTATATTAAGCTGTTTGGTGGATTCTTGCTTATAACATGCAGGCACAACACTCATACACATCAGATAAAAATTTAAAAATATAGCCAGGCTGCGGTGACACACCTTTAATCCCAGTACTCCAGAGGTAGAGGCAGGTGAATCTCTTGAGTTTGAGGCCAGCTTAGTCTACAGAGCAAGTTCCAGGCCAGCCAGGGCTACACAAAGAAATCCTGTCTCAGAAAAAAAAAAATTTTAAATCTAAAAAAAGTTTTTAAAATTACACTTATGTATTTGTTTCTCTCTGTGAATGTGCATGAACACTATGGGATGCCTTGGAGGTCAGAGGAAACTTGTGGGCATCAGTTCTAACTTTCTACAATGTGGGTGTGGTGGTTTGAAAGAAAATGGTCCCCAAAGGGAGTGGCACTATCAGGAGGTGTGGTCTTATTGGAAAAGTGTGCCACTGTGGTGGCTGACCTTGAGGTCCCCTATATGCTCAAGCCATGCCCATGAGTCGGTTCATTTCCTGTTGCCTTTGGCTCAAGATGGAAGGATTCTCAGCTCCACCACCACGTGTAGCTGCTTACATGCTGTCTTGTTTCCTGTCATGATGATACTGGACTAAACCGCTGAACTGTAAGTCGGTCCCAATTAAAGTCTCCCTTTTTAAGAGTTGCAGTGGTCATAGTGTCTCTTCACGGCAATAGAAATCCTAAGACAGTGGGTTATCAGGAATCAAACTCAGGTCATCAGACTCAGCAGCAAGCTCCTTTACCCACTGAGCCATCTCTCTGGCCCATAAACTAGATATTTGAGATCTCAGAAGGAGAGACTATTTTCATATGAAATGAAATATTCTGCTTTCAGTTTCTGTGTCAGGTGTCCCTGTTCCCTACATCATTTAGATGGCAGCATTAAGGAACAGGAGGGACATGGGAAAAGCTGCCAAATTCAAGATCTTGTTCCTTCCCAGATTTCTCGTTTTCTGCACACATACCTGGGGTTTCCCACCTCCCTTCCTTAGTTTCGCTCATGTTATCCATGAGGCATCTGACCTATGCTTGCTCCAACCCCACCTCCACACACACCCCTAAGCTTGTGTGTTTGCAACATTGGCTTCTCTTGAGCTGAGAAGCCAAAGTCTCAGAGCTGTGGTTGCCTCACAGCTTAAGCAAAGCAGGAAGTTCAGCAGGCTGCCCAGGGAAATGGAAGTTCTTTGTCCTCCCAATCCTTTCACTTCACAACACAGTTGATGATCTAAAGCTGGCACTGGAAATTACATGAATGATTCAATTAGTGCTGGAGAGAGGCTCATGGGTTAAGGGTACTGATACCCACAGCTAAGTGTAGCTCTCAGCCCTCAACAAAGATGATTCGTTCTGCAGCACATGGAGGCTACTACAGAAATCCACAACACAACAAATGCAGAGGAAGTGACCATAGGATGGTTTCATATTTTATACCTATATTACTTTTGTAATGCAACTTCTATGTAAGGCTCAGGAACCATAGACTGTAAGAGCCAGAGAACCAGGACAACTGATGCTACATAGTGACTTGTATATGTGACAGGGATGCTCCACCTGTGAAATATCAACCCTGAGGCTACTGTAACAAGACCCCAATAATGATAACACCAGCTAGCATCCATTTTAAATGGGTAAATTGTACAAGGCCTCACCCCTAGGGGAAAAGCTACAGGCAATCAGTGGTGCTGCGAGGAGAGAATCAGTCTTCTCAAAGTGGGCCCCCTGATAGGTCATCCAGTTGGAATTGGTCAGCCCTAAACACATACAAACCAGCAACTCTAAATGGACTTATTTGGATATGTGTGTGTGTGTGTGTGTGTGTGTGTGTGTGTGTGTGTGTGTGTGTGTGTAAAACAGCAATAATTATAGAGGAACAGGTCGTGAACATGAGAGGAAGTAGTGGGGACATAGAATTGGAGTGTAGAAGAGGGGGTAGAAATGATGTGAATACAGTACTCATGTATGAAATTACTAAAAAATTAAGGGAAAACATATACATGTGTAAATATTAAATCAAATAAAATATTTTTAAAAATATTGTCTATCCATACTTTATTCCTTGATAATTTCATGCATGCATATAATGAATTTGGTCATTTCTCACTCCAGTTAACCTCTTTCATCCTCTCCTGCTAAACCTCTTCTTCCTCTTTAGCCAATTCCCAATTCATGTCTGTTTCTGTGTGTGTGACTCACTGAGTTTATTTGGAGTTTCTTGCCTGAGTGTGGGTGGAATGCTATATGCTGGAGCATGGACAACTTAGTAGTCGCTACAGCACTGAAGAAAAATCATCCTCCTCCCTTAGCCATCTTTAGCCTTAGGGAATGGGGGGCCCTCTGAAACCCACCCTCCATGATGAGATGTAGATGGGCACAGAAAGGGTTTCTTTAGGTATCCACAATTGCTGTGAGTCCATGAATGCAACAGCTATGTCATGTCTGGAATATAGGATTCCATTGCACTCCTCTCCATTCTCTGGCTTTATATTCTTTGTACCCATCCTCTTTGATGTTCCTGAGTCTTAGAGGAGGTTGATGCAGATGTCCAATTTAGAGTCAATAGGTTCTGTCTCTTAATGGTCCCACTGCTGCTTAACACTGGGACACTGGGAGACAGGCTTCCCACACATAGGCTCATGGAGGAATAAACCACAATGAAACCTTGGCATTCTTTCCTTGGCCCTTATGTTCATGTTGATAACAGAACATGAGTTCCCTTATTTCATGCCAGTAGTGCAAAAGTCTTGTTTTATTCCAACATTGCTCAAAAGCCTAAGTTCAAAGTGTCCTGTGAGCCTCATGGCAAACGGCCTAGCTGTCAGTCTGAAAACTAAAAAACAAGTTATTGCATACTTTAAGGTACAAGGAGAGGGCAGGCAAAACTTACTAAGACAGCATTAAATCCTAAATCTCCCAGAATGATGTTCTGTGCACATTGCAGCAGGGTCACAAGGCCTTGGACAGCTCTTCCTCAGTGATGTTTCTTGTCAGAGGCTCTGCTGTTACCTACTTGATTGAGCTGGCTTCCTACACCACCTGCAGCTTTCCTAGGTGGGTACACCACATTACAGGTTGTTCTGCCTCTTCTTGGATACAGCTCTGAGCTCTATTTGCACACCTCTAACAGGCGTCACTCATTTGGGGGCCTTCTTTACAGGCTCTAATCCTGCAGCAGACATCTGACTGACCACCCAGGCTTTGCTTGAAATGTTGGGGGAAGCCTCCATGATTCCATCCCTCTTGCATTCTGTGATTCTGAAAGACCAAACACCATGGAATTGCTTCTGCTGCCACCGGAATCAACCATGCTTCAGCCAATATGAACCATGGTTGCAGCTGAGAGTTGATCAGGTGGGAAGTAAGGAGCTGAATCTCGAAGTTCCTTGGGTAAGACAGGAAGCCAGAGCGCAGGGACACCCAAGGAAGGCCTCTCCTTAGCTCTACCTCTTTCAAGGTCTCACTCTCTTAATATCATCAGACTTGGCACTGGATCTGGATGACTCATGTCTGTAACCTCTGTACCTACAAGGTTGGAGAATCAGGAGTTCAAGCTCACCTTTAGCTACATAGCAAATTTGAAGGCAGGCTGGACTACACAAGACCTTGTCTTCAAAACCATAAACAAACAGAAAAGACTTGGTACTCTGGTACCTGTAGAATCCACTGATGTGCTGAGGTACCTACGCAGTCTCATGCCTCCTGCTGACTATTCAGGGTCAGATTTTTAATGTCAATAGCACAAGCTCATTTGGTAAAATGCTTACATTGCATGTGTGAGTTAGATAACCCAAATCCACCAGAAAAAAAAATGAGAGTTTCTATTGCTGTGGTGAAACACCATAACAAAAAGCAAGTTTCAGAGGACAGGGTTTATCTGGCTTACACTTCTGCATTGTAGTCCATCACTAAAGGAAGCCAGAGCAGGGACTCAAACAGGGCAGGAATCTGGAGGCAGGAGCTGATGCAGAGGCCATGGAGGTGGACTCTTCTTGGCTTCCTCCCCATGGCTTGCTCCCCCTGCTTTCTTAAAGAACTCAGGACCACCGGCCTAGGAATGGCACAATCCACACTCCTCTCCCATCACTGACTAGTTCTGAAAAATGCCTTACAGGCTTGTCTACAAACTAATCTCATGGAGGTATTTTCTCAATTGAGGCTCCCTCCTCTCTGATGACTTTAGCTTGTGTCAAGTTGACATAAAACTAGCCAGCACAGTGACATTTGCTTGTAATCCCAGAACTGGGAGGTAGAGACAGGCAGATTTCTGAGGCTCACTGGCTACCCGGTCCCACCTACTTGATGAATTCCAGTCAGTGAGAGACTGTCTCCAAAAAAAAATCTGATGTTGTCCTCTGGCCTCCATACATACACTCTCTCTTGGGCACATAACCTGAATATGTTTGTTACACATGTGTGCAATCACACACATAAACTCTCTCTCTCTCTCTCTCTCTCTCTCTCTCTCTCTCTCTCTCTCTCTCTCTCCCCACTAAAACCTAGCATGTTATAACTAGGTTATTTTATTATAATCCATATCTAAAATTAAAGTTCAGACACGTTTTTTTTTCCTTTGGTTTTTTTTTTTTTTTGGTTTTTTGAGACAGGGTTTCTCTGTGTAGTTTTGGTGCCTTTCCTGGGATTCACTGTGTAGCCTAGACTGGCCTTGAACTCACAGAGATCTGCCTGCCTTTGCCTCTCGAGTGCTGAGATTAAAGATGTGTGCCACCACCACCAGGCTCAAGTTCAGACAGTTTAGCTTGCAGCCATGAAGTGACATGCATAATGAGTAATTGGAATTGCTGTGGTGTGTGTGTGTGTGTGTGTGTGTGTGTGTGTGTGTGTGTGTGTGTGTGTGTGTCCTCCAAACTCAAATGTTAGAAACCTGAACTTTCTAAATAATAGAGTGGGAACTTTGAGAAGGAATGGGTCATTTGGGCTCTGTTCTCTGGAGTGAGATCTTGAAGGGCACTGGAGAGATGAAATGGGAGGTGGATAAGGTCAAGATTCAATATATGAAAATTTCAAAAATTAATATTATTTTAAAAGCTGGAAACTCCAAGAAAATACTTGATGAAGTGCCTGGTGTTAGAACCTTGGCAAATGAAAAACAAACAAACCCTCCCCGCACCCATCCACCAAGAGGTGAGTTAGAGTCAGTGAGCAAAACACTTGTATGCAAACCTAAGGTCCAAAATTCAGACCCCCAGAACCATCCTAAAAAGTGTGAAGACATGACAGCCATTTGGTAGAGCCAGACAGGATCCCTGGGCTAAGCCTGGCTAGCAAGACTAGTTAGACTAGTGAGCTCTGGGTTCATGCAGAGACCCCAGATGAAGTGGGGAGCTATGGAGAAAGACAACCAACAGCATCTTCGGACCTCCCCAGGCATCCACCCACACATATGTGACCCTGTGTGAGCATGCACCCCACATCGACATATGCAAGACCAAGACACCCCAACAATAAAACAATGAAACATAAAAAAACAAAAAAACAACAGAATGTTTCCCTAAACAAACCAAAACCAAAAATAAAATGGACAGATAATCATTTTCTCTTTTCTTTTCTCCCTCAATCTCAAGAGGAACAGACACCATTTTCTCCCATGAGCCACAGCGTGTACACCCTTTTGTCATTATGCACAGCAGTTCCCTTCCTTCTCCTTTCTCAATCTCTCTTCTCCAGTGGAGGTTTAGCTATTTTCCCCAGGAGTGGTGACTTGAAAGTCCTTCCGTCATTTCCCACAGGTGTCCCTCTCCTTCTCCCTTTGTGGTCTGTCCCCTCCCTCTGTGCTCCACTGAGTGCCTGACCCTGTGTCAGCATCACATCTTGGTGACAGTTACCAATCCTGTCTGCTCCTTATAAATAAGTCACCAGTCTCAAATAACTGTGACATCAACACAAAATGAACCAGGACAGCAGTTGTCATTAAACTGGGCTCTTCTCACAGCCTTGGAGGCCATCTGTTTATCTTCTGAACTATGGTAGAGCTTGTGGAAGGACATGCTGGTGACCCCTGACACTCTCAGGCCACATTAGATACTCTTGTCTGTGCCTTCCCTAAGCTCTTGGTTCCTCTAAAGACATCTTGCAGTGGGTTACACATCCAGTGTCTCCCACCACACCCTTTTATGAGGCAGCATCTCTCTATGTAGCTCTGGCTATCCTGGAACTCACTCTGTAGACCTGGCCGGCCTCAAATTCAAAGAGATCCTCTTGCCTCTGCCTCCTGAGTGCTGAGATTAAACTGTGCACCATCATGCCTGGCCCAATGTCTCTCTTTGTGCTGGTCTTGTTCATATGTCATCTTACTGTTTATCTCCCACAGATGCATCCAAGTTCAGGGCAAGTGAAGACTCAGTTTGGAGAAACAGAAGAGGCTCAAGATTCTAGAGCGAACCACGAGATCAGACTAGAGTACCAGGGCCTGATCTAGGCTAGGAAGAACTCCTGGGAAAATCACTGAATGGCAGGCACAATAGCCACTTGTTACCTTAAGTACTCCTTCCAACTGACTGCAAAAATGGATGCAAGCTGGGTGAGGTGACTATAGGCTATAATGCCAGCACAGAAAAGTCTGAGGGAAGAGGACCGTAAATTTGAGACCAGTCTGGACAATATAGTGAGTCTCATGCTATTCTGGGCTATCATCCTGGTTTTGCTTTCTATCACTGTGATAAAACACAAAACTAACTTTGGGAAGAAATGTCATTTATTTCTGATTACTAGTTACAGCCCAGCTCTGAAGGAAGTCAGGACAGGAACATGAGCGGAATTTTAGGCAGAAACCATAGAGGAATTCTGCTTGCTGGAGTGCTCACAGTCAAGTTTAGCTAGCTTTCCCATACAGACCAGGACCATCTGCTTAAGGAATGAAGGTGCCCAAAATTGGTTGAACTCTAAGACATCAACTGATAATCAAGACAATCCCCCAGGACATATCCACAGGCTGATGTGCTCAGGAAAATCCCTTTACTGAGATTCCTTCATCAGGTGACTGTACGCTATGCCAAATTGTCCCTCTAAATTACTGTGGTAATTTGAATGTAATTGGCCCACATAATCTCAAAGGGAGTGGCACTATTAGGAGGTGTGGCCTTGCTGGAGTAGGTGTGGTGGTGTTGGAGGAAGTCTATCACTGTGGAGGTAGGATTTGAGGTCTAGATATGCTCAAGCCATGCCCAGTGAGACACACTATTTTCTGTTGCCTCTGGGTGGAGATGCAGGAATCTCAGGTCTGTCTCCAGCACCATGTCTACTTGCACACCATCATGTTGTGCCATGATGATAATGGACTAAACCTCTGAAAATGTAAGCCACCCCATTTACATGATTTTCCATTCTAAAAGTTGCCATGGTCATGGTATCTCGTCACAGCAATAGAAACCCCAAGGAAGACAGCTACATAGGACAGCTATGTTATAGCATAATTTTGTCATATTAAAAATGGTGTGGTTGATGATGTGGCTCCGTGGTAAAGACAATTGCAGCCAAACTTAAGGACTTGATCTGTCCCTGGGGATCCCATGGTGAAGGTCAAGAACTAAGACCTCAACATTGTCTTCTGACCTCTACACATAAAATGGCATAATCATGTAATAAACAAGGAAATGTAGTTTAAAGAAAATAGAAGAAGTGATTGGTATCTGCTGACTTTCTACAGCTGATTATTTCTGTTTGCTAATTATCAAGGGAGCCCTTGTCTTAATTAATGATCTACGGCTCTAAGTCATGAACCCAATTAATCCTGGCTAAATGGCCTTTTGGATGCACTCATTTCCCCTACCCTTCGCTATCATGACATTAGTTGAGTTCAAACAGAATAGGGAGGTAGAACAAATATTGGTTTTCTCCAGAGGTTTTCAGACTTTGCCTCCTGATTATTCTGGCATGCACAAGTTGGACTTGTGAAATGAAGACATTTTGGCAGCAAAAATCAACTGAGACTTTATTTTAAAATGATGGGTCATTTTTGAAATGTTTCGAGGAGGAAGATGTCCAGAGAAAAAAGTTGGATGTGCTAGTGGTGAAAGTGTCAAATATGCATCTGAGGCCAGCTCTTTGACACTGTGTGACAGCATCGTCATCTACAAAATCCATGCCCTAGAACCAAATTGAGATACAAGAAACTGTGTTTTTCCCCAATCCCCCAAACTTACAATGCTTTAAACAAGTGTATGATTTTGTGTTGGGCAGAATTCAGAATTACCCTTAACTTTGTGTGGCTTGTGGGCTGTGAGTTGGCACACCTGCAAGTGATCATCCCTAAATTCATGTGCACCCAAGCAACACTAAGTGAGCTTGGCAGGATGAAGTCATGGAATTGAGAGGGGGTGGGGTAATTGGAGGAGTGGAGAGAGAAGAGAGAAAAGTGGAAATGATGTAAATGTAGGACTCATATATAAAATTCTCAAGGAAATGTAAAAAAAATACTTTCTCCCATGGGGCTTGACCCTTTCTGAATGGAGGCAGAGGAGGAGTGGATGGTGTTAGTTATTATTATGTGGTGCTGTTTTACTATGAGAGAAAAGCCACAAAGTACAATAAATCCAACTATTAGAATGTATTAAGGAAAATGTGCATAGGCCTATGGTAATGGTCATGCAAGGAGAGAGAGGAAGAAGAGAGGGGAGGAGTCTGTGATCTGCTTTTTATGAATTCCCACACACGTGTGCATATGGACTTACATAGCTGTGCCATGCGTGTGCATAGATTATGACATGATCACACTGTGCACAAATTATGTGCACAAAACACAGCACATGGATTATGTAGGACGTAAGACCCCAGGATGACTAAGCCTCTTATTTGGCTACTGGACAGAGCATGTGTGGTCATGTAGCTGGGGAAATGGACAGGAATTCCAACATTCCAGACGCTTTGCTTACTATAAAAAAAAAAATGGCAGATGAACAGGAATGGGGTTGCTGTGTTTCCCGAAACTGTTTCTTGCTGACTCTGTGGGCATTGGTTAACTCTTGGGAGGAGGGAAGGGGGCTTTTGGGGTAGCCAGACATCCTGAGTAGTGGGTTGTCCTCAGCTGCTTTGGGAATCATCCAACACCTTTCACTGCTTAAGGCTTTGTGGCTCTTTGGGTCTGACAAGGTGCTGCTGAAGTGGATACAACCTGTCCAGGTGAATTCAAGCTGGCTCTGGATCTCGGAAGAATTTTCAAACATGTTAAGAAGCAGCCACAGGGGATTTAAAATCTTGAGCTGGTAGCCATGATATTATAATGTTTGGTACTCTGCTATATTGGTTAGTCTGTAAGGGGGGGGGAGGGAGGGAGGGGAGGAGGGAAGGAGGCAGGGAGGGAGGGAGGAAGATTGGGAGGGAGACTGGGAGGGAGGGAGAGAGGGAGGGAGGGAGGGAGACTGGGAGACTTGGAACATGTTTTTAATTTTTATCTGAGATAAGTCTTATCTAAGACAAACCTCAAGGCACCTGTTTTCTTTAGTAGTTTAGCAGAGTCCAAACCCTTTTGAGTCTAGGGGTGTAAATACCTTTGAACTGTCCCTGTTCCTTACCACCTGGATATAGTTGGGCCTTGGCCTCTGGCTCTATGGTCGTCCTGTAACAATTAGCTGAATAGTTAATTAGAGATTTAAATATGTTATTAGAGACACAGAGGGAAGTTGATGTCACAGAATATGGTCAGTAGAGACAGGAAGGTGTCTTGAAGCTCACAAGTCTGTAATAAGGCAAATGGGGGAGCAAATGAAATAAAAGCTCCTACCTTAGCTAGAAAATCTCTTCCCATTAGGGGCACAGAGCAGGCTGGCACAACTGAAAATGTATGGGTGAGAGGGATACCCCTGAAAATACAATTAAGTGGTGGGTCTGGTGAGGTGGGTAAGGCTATCCCCCTACCCTGACAATAGGGAAACGAGGAGAGGTGGGACCCCAAAACCACCTCAGGTCTGAGTGGCTCAGTATCCAAAAGGAAGGAAATGGATCACCCCAATATTGCAATGGCTATCCTGGGTTCCCTGTGACAGATGGCACCTTTAATACTCACCCATGGCCAAGCCTAGGAAGTCACTGGAGGGTGGTCTTGGTTTGATGTCCCCATGCCACTAGGTGCATGGGGGCAGTCAGCTGGCCAATGTCCCTCTTGGTGGCACTTCGGACAAGGCCCAGATGGTGGCCCACATGGGACAGGGCACCCACAAGCCCAGTGGCCTTCTCTATCACATTTAAAACAGGGACCTGGAGGCTTCGGGCTGCCAGTCAGATAGCTTGTGCCAGCATTCAGCAGTTCTGTTTATGGGCTTTTTCATCTTTCCCATGGTACACCTTAATGCCACCACTAAGACTTTTGCCTTTGGGAGGGCCCCTCTCCAGATGCTTAAGTTTAGCCCTGATGTAGGGGAAGCTCTGGGAGACAGAAGATGGATTTTATTTCTTATCTTGAATTACGTTTTCTAGCTTTTTATAGTTCACTTGTTTGAGGACAGCCTTAGGAAGATCTGCCAGGAGGCAGGTTATAAACTGATCTCTAGTTAGAGAGCCGCCCAGGTGATTATAATCCCAATGTGGGTCCTGATCAGGAACCGCCTCAGCTCCAGGTGGATGGGCACAATTAGTTTGCTGAAACTCATTTGCATGTGTCCTAGCCTGTAGATGTAACCAACCATCTTATTAAAAAAGAAACACAGAACCAATGTAAAGAAGAAAGCCAAGAGATCAGAGCTAAGAGCCTTACCTGTCTGCTGCAGCTAGCCAAGAGACCTCTCTGAAAAAGGGCCTACTTCCTGTGTGGTTGTCTCTATATAGTCTTTCTGTTCTGCCTTCTCATTGGTTGTAAACCCAAACACATGACTGCCTCGTCACTGCCTGTCTGTAGAGACTTCCAGGTCTTCTATGGTATTGAGATTAAAGGCATGTGTCTCCAATGCTGTATCCTTGAATACATAGAGATCTACCTAGCTCTGTCTACCAAGTGCTGGGATCAAAGGCGTGCGCCACCACCGCCACACTGTTGCTATGGCTCTAATAGCTCTGACGCCCGGGCAACTTTATTTATTAACATACAATTAAAATCACATTTCAGTACAAATAAAATACCACCATACTAGCCTATTCCCAGACCTGCCTGTGCTGCTCAGGGCAGCTCAAGAATGAGTGACAGGAAGAGTGAAGGTGGGAGCCAGAGTGGGGCTGTTGAAGCTGCCTGCCCAATACTGGAGAGGAGGAGGGGATTAAGGGAGGAGCCAAAAGGGCAGATGCTCAAGGAGCAGGAGCAGTAGGTCAGGTGGCAAGGTTTCTTGGAGTCAGAGATTCCTCAGATTCAGGTTGCATGGCTAGGAGCACATGGGCAGGAGAGAAGGAATCAAGGAGGGAGGAAAAAGCTTAAGCTTGGGGATAAGGTAACTCTTCATTTGCTCATTTGCTGACAGAAGTTATATAATTCCCATGAAATATCCGGGTGCAAGGAGCCATTAGATGGTCATTTTTATTGTTATCTAAGGGATATTTAAGGCATTTCTCAGGGAAGGAGTGGGACTAAGAGGTGGAAGCCTTATGTCCCATGATTGTAGCAGAGGGAAAAAAATTAAAAAACTAAAAAAACAAGACCATAATCTCAGGCATCCCTGAGATCAAGGAAGGATCTGTGATTGGCACAATTCACCCAATGCTTCGTCAAGCAGAGGTGTGAGGGCCAGGGCGTACGCAGCATGAGGACCACCTGGGTGTCGGAAGCATTCAATGCTTCATCAAGTGAGAGATTGAGGTGGTGTGTGGGCAGCCTGAGGACCTCCCAGGGATCCGACAGCAAGAAATAAATCTTAGGCTACAGTTTGGAAAATGGCTAAGGATTGAAGCTAGTTTAAGCTGACTGGAAATGGAGAACTCACCAATTGAAGCAGCCGGTGCTGTGCGAAGCAGTCTGGTGACTGAGCAAATGAAAAAGTGGGCAGTCAGTCATAGATAGGGCAAAACCTCGGTACAGGGAACTGGACACAGAGTGCTGGGAGGACATGCTTCGTCTTGGCACCAATGTTAGTTGTGATTATGCAGTGCTGTGTTATTCATTAAGTGGCGCTGTTTACTGTGCGAGAAAAGCCACAAGGCACAACGAAGCCCACGATAAGAGTTTATTAAGGAAAGACGTGCTTAGGCCTATGGAAATGGTCCTGGGAGGAGAGAGAGGGAAAAGAGTGGGGAGGAGTCTGTGACCTGATTTTTGTGAATTCCCCCTGCACATGCGCATAAGGGCTTATGTAGCTACACCATGCATGTGCATAGATTACCACGTGATCACGCTGTGTGCAAATTATGTGACCACACAGTGCACGGATTACATAGGAGGTAAAGCCCCAGGATGACTAAGCCTCTTGCTTGGCCACTGGACAGCGCATGTGGCCAAGGGAGAGTGGCCAGGAATTCCAAAAGATGTGGGGTGTAGAAAGGTAAGGGAAAGGAATCAGAGGAGAGAGGTAGGGGAAACTGTGGTTGGTATGTAAAATAAATGGAAAAAAATTAATGAAAAAGAATGTTTTCTCTGTTTTTAAAGGATATTTTTATTAGGTTGATGAGTCTAGCAGTTTGCTTGTATTTACAAATAGTTGTCACTATTATATTTATTTATGCTGGGAAGACATGACTTTTTATTTAAAAGATTCATTTTAGGAGTGTGTGTGTGTATGTGTGTGTGTGTATGGGAGAGAGTGCTTATGTGTTCATGCATGTGTGGTAATATTTTGTTTATGCTCTAACAAATAAAGCCTGCCTGGAAATCAGACTGCAGAGCTAGCCACTAGTTAACCTTAGAGGCCAGCCAGTGGTGGCACACACCCTTAATCCCAGCACTTTGGATCTCATGCCTTTTATCTCTCACAGTACTTGGGAGGCACATGCCTCCAATCCCAACACTAGGGAGGAAGAAACAGGAAGTGATATGGCTGGGTGCAGAGAGAGGACTATAAGGTGAGTGGAGACAGGTGCTTGGCCTCCCTTTCAGGCTGAGGAGTTGGCGAGGTAAGAGGTGGCTGTGGCTTGCTCATTTGTCTACCTGATCTTTCAGCATTTATCCTGATATCTGGCTCCAGATTTTTGTTATTAAGACCAATTGGAATTCACACTACAGATGGTTCAGAGGTTAAGAGCACTGGCTGCTTTTCCAGAGGTCCTAAGTTCAATTCCCAACAACCACATACTGGCTCACAACCATCTGCAATGAGATCTAGTGCCCTCTTCTGGCCTGCAGGCAGATATACAGACAGAATACTATCTGCATAATAAATAAATACATAATAAAAAAAACTGTCACAAAGTCTTTAAATAAATCTCACAAAGATTTATTGGCCGGGTGGTAGTGGTACACGCCCGTAATCCCAGCACTTAGGAAGGAGAGGCAGGTGAATCTCTGTGAGTTAGAGGCCAGCCTGGTCTACAGAGTGAGTTCCAGGACAGCCAGGACTACCTTTCTGGAGGGGGGGGGGAATTCACACTACATCTGGCATCCAACTTGTGGGGCACAAATTTATGAAAAGGCCACTTGCCTGTCACTTTGCAGCCACTGGCACAGGCCGGAGCCGCACACAGCTGGAATCACTACCCTGCCAGCTAAGGTTTTCCTTTCTTTTCCTCAAGCCTCTGAGTGAGTTGGGAGTTTTCTGTTGCAACCTATCTGCAGCAAACTCATGGCTCATGGGCTTTTGAGCTCCAAAAAGCACAGGAGTTAGCCATTTTTCGTATTCCCCCATGCAGACATCTGGTCCTTTGGCTTCTCCTCTCCCAGTGGGTTTGGACTTTCCCAGGACCCCCTCCTTGGGCTGATGCCACACTAGGTAGCTGCTCCGAGCTGTCAGCCCCACATTTCATCATCATCTGAATTGTTATTGTTGGTCGATTTTGTGAGACAATTGGGAATTTAAGAAGGGAGGAATTAGTTAAAAGAGAGAAGTTTTTCCCACATTACAAAATGAGAAACGTGTTGTTTTTTTTTCAGTTTGTTTAAATGGTGGATTACATTGACAGATTTTCATATGTTGAACCATCCCTGGATCTCTGGGATGAAGCCTACTTGATCATGGTGGGTGATTTTTTGATATGTTCTTGGATTCTGTTTGCCAGTATTTTATTGAGTATATTTGCATCAATGTTTATGAGGGCATTGGCCTGTAGTTAGTTCTCTTTCCTAGTTGTGTCTTTGTGTGGTTTGGGTATCAGGGTAACTGTAGCCTCGTAAAAAGAGTTTAGCAAAGTTACCTCTATTTCTATTGCTCAGAACAATTTCAGGAGTATTGGTATTAGCTCTTCTTTGATATTCTGGCAGATTTCTGTGCTGAAACCATCTGACACTGGGCTTTTTTTGGTTGTGAGAGTTTTAATATCTGTTTTTATTTCCTTGGGGGTAATAGGTCTACTTAAATTGTTTATCTAATCTTGATTTAGTTTTGGTATGTGGTACCTATTCAGCAAATTGTTCATTTCTTTTAAATTTTTCAATTTTGTGGAGTACAAGTTTTTGAAGTATGACCTAATGATTCTCTGGATTTCCTCAATTTCTGTTATATGTCCACCTTTCCTTTCTGATTTTGTTAATTTGGTATTCTCTCTCTGCTTTTTGGTTAATCTGGATAAAGGTTTGTCTATCCTGTTGATTTTCTCAAAGAACCAACTAACTCTTTGTTTCATTGACTTTTTTTGTATTGTTCTCTTTGTTTCTATTTTATTGATTTCAGCTCTCAATTTGATTATTTCCTGTCATCTGCTCCTCTGGGTGACTTTGCTTCTCTTTGTTTTAGAACATCAAGGTGTGCCATTTCGTCACTGGTGTGAGATTCTTCCACTTTCTTTATGTGGGCACTTAGTGCTATGAACTTTC